GCATGTACAAACATAAGAGCCCCTAAATCCTTGAGGACCCCTTCCAGAAGGAACTCTCTCAGCCTCGATCCCCAGTAGACACCTTAACCCCCCAACAAGAGACCCTTAGGCTATAGGCTTTGCGGACTGTATTGGAACTACTTCACCTCTAAAGCCCCCAAGGGGCTATGTAGTATTATATAGTATACAGTATACTGTATATAATAGAAATAAATATAAATATAAATATATATATACATAAAATATATATATATATATATATAATATATATATATATATAATATATACATGAATATATATATATATACACACATATCATGGTATATAGTTAATAGTACATAGTATACAGTATGTAATATAGTATTTAGTCTCTAGTATATCACGCCATTCCCAAGGCGCAGCAGCTCACTCCCACCATCCGCCAGGAGGTCCCGGAGGTCAGGTGCACCTTCCAGCCTGACCCAGCAGGCCAGGGAGCCCTACCACCCCCTGAATGGAGGAACGTAGCTCTTCAAAAATAGGGACCCTGATAGGAACCCTAAACCCTAAACCCTAAACCCTAAACCCTGGAACTGAGGTGATACGGATTTTGATGGGGTCCTTGGGAGCCGAGGAACCCCATGGTCCCCAAACCACCCAACGAGCCATAGACACCCCGAAGCGCAAAAGCTTGGGGAGTTCGGAATACGGGGTTCCAGTGTCTAGCGAGTTGATCTTGGACTTTTGCTCTGTTAGGGTTTAGGGTTTGGGGTTTAGGGTTTAGGGTTTAGGATTTAGGGTTGCAAGCCCTAGCCATCTGGGACAAAGCAGGCTAGACCCTGCACTTCCATCCTGTGCCGAACCGTACACGGCCGCCTTGCGGCCTTAGGGTTTTAGGGTAGTTCCATGGTCCCTTGGTATGGGCCCTTGAAAAAGGGGACCCCTCATATACCCCTTAAATACCCTATACAACCCAAGGGCCCATACTGCAGAACCCTGTAAAGGAGGTAAGGGACCATATTAAGGGCCCATGAAACTACCCTTAGATGCGGACATCGCAAGCCAGGAGCTAGTTGAAAGGTACCTTGCGGTGATGTGCTGCGGCTTCAGCACGAGGCGCCGTAGCACAGGCCAGCAACCTCAATCAGCTGGGGATATGGTAGTTTCCGAAAATAGGGGGTCCCAGGGTTTAGGGTTTAGGGTTTAGGATTTAGGGTTTCGGGGTACCTTCTTGGGGTCCTTATTGTAAGGGAATCCTACTATTTGAGGGTCTACATTGGGGGTCCCCTGTTTTCGTAAACTCCCAAAAGGGCTCAGGGCTCGCAGATTTTGCAGCCTCCAAGGCCGAACTCTATGTAGTAGGTATATATTCACAACACATGCACTCACCCATATGCGTAAGGAACGCTGCTTTATACTCAATAAATATACCGTACCTTAAAGCGGACAGTCGGGTTCAAGGAGCACATCTTTGAGCAACTTGAAAGTATAGGGGCTTGGTACAGGCGAATACAGTCATCTGAGATGAAGGCAACGGGCCTAGTCAAAATCATGGACATTTTTACCCTAAACCCTAGCCCTAAACCCTAAACCCCGATTCAATCCCAAACGCTAAATCCTAAGCCTGCCCAATAAACCCAAGGGCCAGGTTGCAATCATGGGTTCTCTGTTGTACCACAGTTTAGGGTTTAGGGTTTGGGGTTTGGGGTTTAGGCAACTGAATTTGGGTCTAGTGTTGCGGGATCGCTGTCGCGCGACTCCGGGCTTCGAAGAAAGAAAACTGAAACCGAAACGTCCCAAAGGTTTAGGATTTAGGGTTTAGGGTTTAGGGTTTTAGGGTTTAGGGTTTAGGGTTTCGGGTTTTAGTGTTTAGGGTACAAATGAAGCCCATGTGCCAGAAAAAAAACCCTGAGACCGGCACACAGTGACGCGTCGGCCCGCTTTGTGACCGTGCTGTCCGTCGTCCATGAGCTTTGGATCACGGCCTTCGTGGGCATCGCACCATGGCCACATGGTGATGTGATCCTGCTGAGCCTCGAAGTTTTAGACCCGAAACCCTAAACCCGAAACCCTAAACTCGAAACCCTGAACCCCAAACCTGAAACCCCAAACCCCACACTTCTCTCTGGCTACACCCATGGAGACCAAGATTTTCCTGACTTAAGTTCGCTTCCAGGCAATTTCTTACCATAGGAGCACTTGCAACAAAGGTCCCTAACATGGAACATCTTCGGTTTAGGGCTTAGGATTTAGGGTTCAAGGTAGCCGACAGCTAGCTTCCCTAAACATACTTCACTCAGCACCGGCTAGTTGTAGTCTTGGGGTGTCTGGTGGTGGTTGGTGCTGGTGGCAGTGGCCGCGGCAGGGTCAGAGGGTAGAAGTGTGCTGTGGTGGTCCTCCCTAAACCCTCAACCCTAAACCCTAAACCCTAAATCCTCAACCCTAAACCCTAAACCCTAGGGTGCTACAAACGCAAGCGGTGGAGAGTCATGCGAGTATGCTCCCATGGACTGGGGTAGGTTTGGGGGCCCTGTAAACATTGGATGCTTATGGCTTTTCAAGTAAGGATTATGTAACTATGTAGGGGATTCCGGGGAAAAAACATTACCATGATGTTCAAAACAACCCCTGTGGTTTTTGGTATAAGATCAGTCGGCTGACTCCGCGCCAGCGCTGGAAGCAGTCGATGGCTCTTTCCACTGCGAACGGCGGCGTCTCCTCTCAAGGCCAGACGGACAGCAAGAGGGAGAGAGAGAGAGAGTCAGAGAGAGTCAGAAAGAGAGAGAGTCAGAGAGAGAGAGAGAGAGAGAGAGAGAGTCAGAGGAGTCAGAGAGAGACAAAAGATGGTAGAGTAATGTCGAGTATAGGGGTTTCAGGTTCAAGACGCGTCGGTCACTTCCACGCCCTCCCTCCTTCCGAGTGCTAAGCCAGCGCTGGGGGTTTGAAGACCAAGTGGCAGCACAGAGCACCTCCTGAGGATCGGTCTTTCGGAGGCAGAGCTTAGCGTGTAATTCGGGCTTGCGGTTGCCCTGGGGCCGTGGGGTTTAAGGGGTGCATTTCTTGAAGTGCAAGAAGTATGGCTTTAGAGTCTAGGCTCCAGAGAAAGGCATATCATGCCCTTGTGCGCGTGATTTCCGACAGTGTGTTACTGAAAGCGACATCACGACCCTAGTCGTGAGGTCTGCGCCCAGGTACTGTACACTGGTGGCTGTGCTGAAAGTTGTTATTATGGGCATATGAAGTGCTGTGCTGTGCATTGATGCGCATTCATGGCTTCCTAAACCCTCACAAACCCTTTATGGCACCCTATACTAAAGCCCTACGAATCCTAGAAACCCCCGAAAAACCCTCAAAACCCCTTGAAGCCCTAAAGGACACCAATAACCTAGGAATAGAAAAGGGTGCCCTTTTCATGCTTTAAAGGGGATGATAAGGGAACCTCTACCCTTAAAACATGGGGTAAGGGCCTACTCTGGGTCCTAGGGGTCCTGCGAAACTTCGAGGAGTCGGCCGGCTGCGTGTAGCGCGAGGAGGTCGGTGCAGGAGAGCCACTCAAGCAGGCGCCTCCCCCAAACCATCCCACTGGGAGACATTTTTTTGTTTTAGGGTTTAGGGTTTAGGTTTTAGGGTTTAGGGTTTAGGGTTTAGGGTTTAGGGCTTTGTGGTGGTTGGGGGGGGGGGGGGGGGTTAGGGGTTTAGGGGGCCTTAGGGGCTTTGGGGGGCTTTTGGGGGTATAGGGTTTAGTGTTCTAGATCGCAGGGTGGAATTACTTTGAGGTTCTTGGGTGCATATAGGTAGGGATGTCGGTACCCTGATTTGGATGAGTCATAACCACACAGCAAGCTCGCATATAGTTCTTGTATGACCTAATCATAATTAGCATGAGTAGGGTTGGTATTCCCAGTATCATATGTTCATATAATATAGGAGGACCCTCTTTGATAGTGTGGCAGCTTGTTCGGCCTCCTTGCAAAGAGCCGTTGGCCTGACCCAGCCAGCCGACATTTCGGCACGAAACCCCTAAACCCTAAACCCTAAACCCTAAACCCTAAACCCTAAACCCTAAACCCTAAACCCTAAACCCTAAACCCTAAACCCTAAACCCTAAACCCTAACAAACGGGGATGGGAGCGAGAGCAGGGGCGCCTGCTGCACCCCGAAAAAGCAAGGTTCAGCATGGCCCCAGCGGCCCATGGATTGAGGTTGGGAAAGTTTTGTGTACTTCAGGTTCAGGGGTTTAGGGTTTAGGGTTTAGGGTTTAGGGTTTAGGGTTTAGGGTTTAGGGTTTAGGGTTTAGGGTTTAGGGTTTAGGGTTTAGGGTTTAGGGTTTAGGGACTTTAGGTCAGGGTTAGATTTAGAACCTTTTGGGGATCAGGTGTGTGTATGTCGTGCCACAATTCTTGGGGGGCTATTTCGGCAAGTGAAGGTAAGTGAAGGTGAGCACAGGCGTCAGGGTCGGTCCACGATGCTGTCTGCAGTTGCAGCTGCAACGGCTGTTTTGGACGTGAAGGAGCGTGAAGGAGCCTTCGGCACTGCATGATTGGACCCTAAACCCTAAATCCTAAACCCTGGTATGAGTACTCGAGGGGCTGCTGGTGCACACTGCGTGCAGGGCTTTTTTCGTTTCTTTCTCGAGCCGGTCGCAATTGGCGTAGTGGTTTAGGGCTTTAGGGCTTTCAGGGTCTAAAGGCCCTAGGCTTCATGCACAGATTCGAGTGGCAAGGATCCCCCTGTCGCTCGGCAATCCCTAACCCCCGCCCCTAAACCCTAAACCCTAAACCCTAAACCCTAAACCCTAAAAAGTGAGTGCGCTGAACGGAAGACAGCAATTAAGACAAGACCAGCTGCCCTTTCGGACACAGCTGGCCAGGGCCTTAGAAGCCTGCTCCATTTTGCTCAGACTCCGACCCTCAACCCTAAACCCTAAACCCTAAACCCTGAACCCTGAACCCTAAACCCTAAACCCTAAACCCTGAAATATTCCATCTCTGGCTGCCGAAAACAGCATCTGAGGTCAGGGCAGTTGACCAGCGAGGGAAACATCCGAAGGCCTGAGTGACACTACGATTTAAAAAGTGCCCACGGTTTAGGGTTTAGGGTCTAGGGTTTAGGGTTTAGGGGCTTAGGGGTTTAGGGTTTAGGGTTTTAGGGTTTTAGGGGTTTAGGTGTTTAGGGGTTTAGGGTTTAGGGACTATAGCGAACTAAAATCGAGACTCGGGGTGAGGAATCCCGGCAAGTACTCTGCTTCACCTCCTTGAGATCATGCCCATCTGCTCTGAGGATGCTTAGGGGTGGCGACGTGCAAAAAAGGTTGAAAATGAAGCATCTTTGCCAATGTAGGGGATAATTAGGGGCTTTTTAGGTATATCGGGACTACGTAAGGTATATGTGGGGGCAATATCTCCTTATCCCTTCAAACACTGAAAGCCTACACCCTAAACCCTAAACTTGAACCCTAAACCTCGCCTAAACCCTGACATTAAAGACAAGCCCTAAACCCTAAACCCAAACCCCTAAACTCTAACCCTAACCCTAAATCCTAAACCCAGGATTCCAAAACAAACGCCCAAAGGTCCGAGTACCAAGTGCGGCTGGGAGGCGGCTTCGGAAGGAGTCACCCACAGGGGAGAATGCCAGAACAACATGCACGTTCTTCTTGACCTGCGGATTGAAGGTGTGGGGTAGCCCTAAACCCTAAACCCGAAACCCGAAACCCTAAACCCTGAACCCTATAAGCCCCAACATGAAGTTTAGGGCCTGTGGGCTTTAGGGCTTTGAAGCTGGAGGCCTCTGGCGGCTTTGGGCGGCTTCGTGTATCTGTTGCAAACTGAGTTCGATCGATGACCTCTACTTCCTCAGGTCTAAAGGAAACTCAGGGCATCCAGATGTCGAAGGTGCTGACACCAAGAGTTTAGGGTTTAGGGTTTAGTATTTTCTCAATACATCTGCCAGCTTAGAAGTCTGATTGCAGGAACGCCGACATTCACCCCGCACCATCCAAAAAACAAAACACAAAGCCATGGACGCACTTCCCCTAAACCCTAAACCCTAAACCCTAAACCCTAAACCCTAAACCCTAAACCCTAAACCCTAAACCCTAAACCCTAAACCCTAAGCCCTAAGCCCTAAGCCCTAAGCCCTGAACCGCACCACGAAGGTCCCAAGGTTTGCGACTCTAAGCTCCAAGCCTTAATTAGGTGGGATGTAAAGCAACAAGGACTCCTCCACTACATCCCCATGGTTTAGGGTTTAGGGTTTATGGTTTAGGGTTTAGGGTTTAGGAGTAAAAACCAACAAAAAGGTGGCACCCTCGAGAGGTAGGCGCTGAAGAGGTTGGCTTTGTTGGGCTGCATTCCCATGTTCTGACCTTGCTCTGCCAAGCGATCAATCTCACCTAAACCCTAAATTCAAACCCTAAACCCTAAGCCCTGAAACCTAAAACCTAAACCCTAAACCCTAAACCATAAAAAACGATGTGGGAGTTCCCAAGGATCCCAGTTCCCCACGACTATCTGTATCTCAACGGAGCGAATGATATGAGTTTAGGGTTTAGGGTTTCGGGTTTAGGGTTTAGGGTTTACGGTTTAGGGTTAGGGTTCAGGGTTTAGGGTTTCATGGGCCCTTGCTTGTGCATCTGTGTATGGCTATTGCTTCTGAGGTTTAAGGCCTTAAGGTTTTAGGGTGTTTAGGGTTGTAGGCTTTAGGGCACCAGATTAAAGCCTTAGGCCCCAGCTCAACCCCTATCTAAGCTAGGGGAGGAGGATGCGGTCGCAATGCCAGGACGGGCTTTGCTCCCTCCCTTTCACCCCTTCTACAGAAGGGGGCTGCAGATCTTGTGTGCTATTGAAGTGTATAGTATAGGATTACCTTAATTTTGGTCCCTAGAACTGCACTATAGTACCCCGCCCCCCCGCCCCCCCGCCCCCCCCCCCCCCCCCGCCCCCCCCCCCCCCCGCCCCCCCCCCCCCCCCCCCGCCCCCCCCCCAAAAAAAAAAAAAAAAAAACTACTCCAATTATTGAGGCCCCTTTGCTTGGAGACTTTCTGCCAGACTGCTAGCTGGTTAGCAGTTAAGTTTTTTCGTGTAATAAGTAACGCGCCATCCTTTCAGACGTAGGAGTCGGCTGCATGCGGCTGAGATGTGGTGATCAGCTAGCATTCATACCCCATCGAAACGGGAGAAGGCACCATACCTATTGGGCAGATTGACTTTCTTTTTCTACAAAGTACCGGGCCACTCTAAGTGACTGTAGATGCACCCTAGACCGTTTAAGCCAAAAGCCTAGAGCCGAAACCCTATCTCGCAGAGCGTGAGGTTCAACGGCCTTTGTTCGACTTACCTGGACCCCAAGCGCGCTTCCTGTCTTGAGGGCACACTCGAGTATTGGAATTCCTGGGTTTTAAGCCTTGTAGCCATGATTTGTGGAAAATGATAAGTAGCCCAGCAACGGAACTAGAATTTGGGGGAGGGGGTACCACCAGAACCTCAAAGAATGCTGGCTCGCCTCATCTCTTATCCGCCGACCCCAGCTTTGAGCGGGGGAGGCGCTGTGAAGACTCCATGGCGTCGGCGTAACCCCGCACCTTAAGCTGATTTTAAAAGGCCCCAGTCCGTGCCCCGCCCTTCCCGCCCCTAACCCTCCCACCACCAACCACCCTTCCCAACCATTCCACTCCATCCTCCTCCCCTACCCCTTCCCCACTCGATCAGATGACTGACTTTAAAGACTGACTTTAAAGGGCTCCAGTGCATGCCCGCCCCCTCCGCTTGCTCCGCCCGCTCCGCTCCCCCACCCACCCCCCCAACCCCCCCCCCACTCCGCCACCCCACCCCCCCACCCCCCCTCCGCCACCCCACCCCCCCCCCACCCCCCTGCCACCCGCCCCCGCACCCCCCCCCCCCCCACCCACCCCCCCCCCCTAGTTGACAGACTGACTTTCTTAATGCACGCCCCCCCCCTCCGCTTCACCCCCCTTCCCTCCCACCCCCCCACCCCCCCCCACCCCCCCCACCCCACCCCCCCCACCTCACCCCCCACCCCCCCCCACTCCCCCCACCCGCACAACCCCCACCCCCCACCGCCCCCCTCACAAACAGACTGACTTCCCCCCCCCCCCCCCCCCCCCCCCCCCCCCCCCCCCCCCCCCCCCCCCCCCTAGATGACTGACTTTAAAGACTGACTTTAAAGGGCTCCAGTGGACAAGACCCGGAAGTGTATGCACACCACGGTCCAGCATCTACTGGAACCGGTATATAAGTGTTCTGTATATGTCTATATGCTTAAGCCACGGTCCGGAGCTTTCACCGAACCCGGAAGTGTATGCACACCACGGTCCAGCATGCACCGGACCCGGTATATTAGTGTTCTGTATAATTATGTATAAACCACGGTCCGGAGCTTTCATCGAACCCGGAAGTGTAGGCACACCACGGTCCAGCATATACCGGACCCGGTATATATAAGTGCATATACCCCCCCCCCCCTGCCCCGGTCGCGGATGGCCTCTCAGCACACTACCGACTAAGCCCTCCTAATGCCCTTGAAACCCTGAACGCTCAACCCTAGGCCCTAAACCCTAGGCCCTAAACCCGAAACCCTAAACCCTAAACCGTAGACCGCTCACTCTCCTCCTGCCTCTGCGAATTCGTCGAAAGATGGCCTGCCATCCTTGTTCTTGTCCGGTTTGCGCGGAGCATCAGGTTGAGGGGTCGGCGGCACTGGCGGTAGCCATTAAATCGGGCAGCGCGAGGTCCCCAAAGGACCGAGCAAATGCGGACCTTTTAGCCCGGGTCGTCCCGGGAATAGCCTTGCTGGCCTCTGGCCTTCTGCGAAGCAGAATTAGGCCGGACGCCAGTGCCGCCGACCCCCGCATGCCGCCGGTGAACGGTTTTTTTTTCGTGGTTTTTTGCGTCGCCACGGAGGCCCCCAGAGGGCGCGCATCATGAGCATCAGCGGGTCCAGCCCGGGACCCGAAGGCGCGCATCAGGAGCATCAGCGGCTCCCGGGGCGGGACCCCGGGGGCGCATCGGGAGCATGATGCCCCTTTAAGGGCGGGCATAAGCGACGTGTCTAAGCCCGGGGCTAGGAACAAGGGAGTTTAGGGGCCTTATAAAGCGCTTAGAAACTTTAAGGGAGTCTAGGAGCCTCAAACGCTTAGGGAGTTTAGGGGCCTGAAAATGCTTGGAAACTTTGAGGGGGTTGAGGAGCCTCAAACGCTTAGAGATTTTAAGGGAGTTTAGGGGCCTCAAAATGCTTAGAAACTGCTCGCCCCGCGCTTCTGCCTGCGCTGCCCGCCCATGGGCGCAGCCCCTTAAAATTATAAAGCTCACAGTGCCACTTAAGCAAACCCCAAGTCAGATTCGGACGTCTACTTTACGAGGCATTTGACGTGACCATCGGGCCGTTGATAACTTGAGCACCCGAGAGAGCGGCAAGCTCGAGAGAGAGCGAAGGAGAGCGAAGGAGAGAGAGAGAGAGAGAGCCACAGAGCCAGAGGGGGAAAGTCAGCAACCAGAAGGTTTAGGGTTTACAGATTTAGGAATTCAGGGTTTAGGGTTTAGGGTTCAGGGTTTAGGGTTTAGGAATTCAGGGTTTAGGGTTTAGGGAAGTGTCAGAGTGAGAGACAAAAGGAGATGTTCGTGGAGAGAGAGACAAAAGAATAGCCACTGAGTGCGTAGCAGAGCTGGCGGCAGGCCCCCGATATTGACTCCATGTCCTTCACCCACGCGCTGTGTCACATATAGGGTTTAGGGGTTTAGGGTGTATGAAGTGAGTTGTTGGTAGGGTTTATGGCTACTAGATTAGGGGCCGTTTAACCCTTTCAACTCTCCGAAACATGTTCCTGCACATTCTGGTGCTCTTACACCAACAAGGGAAAATCTGACACATCCCCAGGCCCTAAACCCCAAACCCCAAACCCAGAACCGTACTCGTAATAATTCTTGAGGCCCCTTATACTGCAGTGGGGACCCCACCAGGGGGACTCGAAGAAGACGCCCCCGCCTCATTGGCGTAGAGGTTCGGCACATCGCCACCTTAAATTGGCGCTTCGGGAACAGTTGTTTTTGTTTTTTTCTTTGGGCGGGGGGGGGGGGGGGGGGTTGAAGGCGGCTGAAGGGTTTTGGGTTTGAGGGCTTAGATCTCAGGGTGCGGGCGCCGAATAGGGGTTGACGGGGGCTTCGGGGTCGACATCTTTTCGATGCCGGAGATTATTGGGATCGCCCTCACCCTCCCCACCCTGCCCTCTTGCCGTCGTGCCCGCCTCCTCCCCCCCTAATCCCCCCAACTTCTCCACCCCTGCACCCTGAACCCTAAACCCTAAACCCTACTGCACCTCCAATATGTGCCCCAAAGGCCCCAGGAACTGAGGGGCCCCGGCTGTTCAGCACATTGTTGATAGCCTCAACGAAGTCTTCCTTGACGATCTGCGTGTCACCTTGCAGCCGGGGGGGATGGGTTGCTTCCCAGACCCCCAGGAGCATCCAAAAAGTAGAACCCCCAAATGGTACCCTATACTACTATTGGGTCATTCTTAAGAACCCATAAAGGGATGTACTTTAGGGATCCTCCTGGGGGTCTGGATTTTTGCCTTTACCCCAGAATCCCTGAATCCTTGAGCCTCAACGGTTCTTCCACCCGCTTGAAAAGGCATGATCCGGATGGACGATTATGTGGAAGTCCAGGTGAGGCTACAACTAACGATTCTTGTCAAAAAACTGTCCAGTTTGCAGTTCTGTTGAGATCCAGGACAAGAGCGCACACACACACACACACACCTCTTATGACCCATACATACACTGAAGCACGTCCCGGAGGGTTGCTGATGCCGAACCCTAAACCCGACCTATACCCAAGATCTCGCAAACAGCCAGGCTTTTCGTGAACCCAAAGCCCAATCCCAAACCCTACACCCTAAACCCTAAACTCTAAACTCTAAACCCTAAACCATAAACCCTAAACCCTAAACTCTACACCTTAAACCCTAAACCCTAAACCCGAACCCAATCAGGCCAGGACACAGAACAGGAAGACCTGCACCTTGTCCTCCACTCCGCACTTCATGAGGCACTTCTTCACATCCTCTGCTCGTGGCTTAAGGGTTGAGCGGTTGCTTACTGGTTTGCCTTTGTAGGAGGGACTTGAGAATTTGGTACCGTATATCGTACTCCCACCTAATTCTCTAAGTCCTACTCTAAGAACCTGACATTTTTTTAGTGTTCGGAGTGCGTAGAGGGTATGTAGGGTTTACAAGGCGTATGCGGGTTATAGGGATGAAAAGTCTTCTAGGGCTTGTATGCTGGTTACAGGGCTATAAAGGCTTCTAGGGCTTGTAGGGCTTGCCCTAAACCCTATAAATCTAAACCCTAGACCCTAAACCCTAAAACCCCTAAACCCCTAAACCCCTCAACCCCTAACCCCCAAACCTCTGAACCCTCAACCTTAAGCTCTAAGCCTCAAACCCTAGAGCGTGTCGCTGAAAGAAATGGAAAGCGGGCCCCATGACAGAGCTGCGTCCGAGCGTCGTCTCTGAACTCCGACATGCCATAGCCTGACATTTCCGGGGAACATACAGGGTTTAGGGTTTAGGGTTTTGGGTTCAGGGTTTCGGGTTTAGGGTTTAGAAATAGGGTTTAGGGTTTGGGGCTTATGTGCTCCGGCGGCCCACCGCTGCCGATAGAACTCATGGAAAGCTGATGAACGAGAGACAGGGGCTGAGCGTTCGGGGCCATAGGGGGCCGTATGGCTCTAAAAAAACGTTCTTTGAATTGAGGTCCCGCTTAAGGGTTTAGGGTTTCGGGTTTAGGGTTGGGTCCCTTAGCTATGAGTAGCGGCCTTAGCCAACAGGCGCCCGACTAAAGATAGGAGCTGCACTCTCAGGCCTATAAGCCCCACGCAGACATGCTAGTACAAATGGCCCCATTCTTTCTTCTTCGAACAAGCTAGCCTGAAATCTTGACAACGTCTGAAAGTGACACCATCCGCTCGACTGCTGTAGGAGTTGATCGGTGCGCACTGGAAAACCCCCAGCCTCACTTGTAATGTGAGGTCCAAACTTTCCAGGCTCGATATATGGCAGGCTATAGCTTAGGCCCCCCTCCCCCCACCTTTCGCCACCTCGATCTGGAAGCATTCGCACTCCTCAGGTGAAGATGATATGATGCGTACGACTCGGAGAGCAGGGAAACTATGTGTGTCTCAAGCCAATGAAACTCCCTTATCCCTGCTGTAAAGAAGCCCGAGCCATTTCCGTCCCTACGCAAGCAGTTCCGTAATATGGTCCCTATGGAGCCTTATGCAAGTACCCCACAGTAGATCCTAATTCTACAGAACTGACATGCCCCCCCTGACCCAGGGAGCGCGAGGCACTGGACCGCGCACTCAAGTAACCCAGCAGCCTATTTGAAACAGGCATCTAGTTAGCTTATGTTGTCATAGGGATGAGGAGAGGAAATAGAAGTTGAAGATAGGCTCCAGAGCACGCTCTCCTGAATCACTTGCAAAGCCCGAAACTGAGTAGCCCATTAGCCATATCATGATAAGGGCACCCTTTTTGGGGGTTGGATATTTTACGAGGGAAACCAGAACCAACAAAAAAGGGTAAAGGGTACCACTGGGCCACCAAGCAAATGGACTAACCCTAAACCCTAAACCCTAAACCCTAAACCCTAAACCCTAAACCCTAAACCCTAAACCCTAAACCCTAAACCCTAAACCGCGGGTCCCTAGGTTGGGCTCCGGGGAGCGCTCCGGCTGGCAACTTATGTAGAAGGAAACGAAGCCTTCTGCATGCGCAGCGATTTTGCTCAAACCCAACAGACTCCAAAATTCCCGAAACTCCCTAAGCACCCTAAGCACCCCAAACCCTAAACCCTCAACCCTAAACCCTAAACCCACTGCCAACCAAGGCGTGGCTCATTCATGTAGGTAGATAGCCGTGTCAGACTTTGACGACCGCTCCCACCGACCTGGCTGTGGTTTAAGGGCTGAGGGCCTGTTAGGGTTTTGGGGATTTTCAGGGCCCTCAGGAATATGGGGGTACCCGTAATCTACCCCACAGTTGTGTATCCTTATTGTGGGAACCCCAAAAGGGTGTCCCTATGGGTTTAGGAGCCCGAGCAGCCTGGAGTGGTGGAAGGACTGATTCGGGTTCATAGGGTTCTTAGATCCTAAATCCCAAAGCCGCAGGCCAGGCAAAGAAACGGAGAAGCTGGCTGAGATATGCGAAATTGCGAAACCCTAACTGGTTCATATAGGGCGAAATCAGGCCCTAAATCTCAAACCTTATACAGCCTCTATATAAACCCTATCGACCCTAATCCCTAAACATTACAGACCCTAGATAAACCCTGTAAGGGGCGGCTTCGCGCGTTGAGAGCACTCGGAACACTGTGGCCTCTGTGTATGTACTTCGGGTTCAGGTAAGGCTTTATAGGGCCCTGTGGAGAACCAACGAGATCTGATCCCCAAACTCTAAACCATGCCTTGGCCTGGCTGTGGGATGGAGTTGGTTGGGCGGGGTAGGCTTCCTAGAACTCAAAACCCTGTGTGACTGCTCCCTAAACCCTAAACCCTAAACCCTAAACCCCTGTTTGGGCTTAAGTGTCTACCATGAAGGTTCAGGGCTTCGGGGGCTACATGGATCTTTGGGGCATGGCTAGGAATGGTTGGCATGTGGAGTGTCAAACGGGAGGCAACATGTCATCACACCCCCAAATGATATAGATGCCTGAAAGTAACACCCCCGGTCCTAGGTATAGCATTTCTAGGGCTGGGGGCTTAAACCCAACACCCTAAACCCCAAACCCTAAACCCCAAACCCTAAAATCCCTAAACCTCCCTAACCCCAAATCTTAGAATCCGGAGGTTCCTTGTGCTGCAGATTTTAAAGCCCCACAGAGTTTCCCCGAGGCGCGGGCCCCCAGAAGAAGGACGTTGCCGCTGGGCTGGCTCAGAACACGGCCTTATGTATACATATGTATATATATATACACATATATGTATATATACATAAGGCATATGGGGCATCTATAGGACATATGATGTTATAATAGTATAGTATAGTGGAATATGAGACAGTAATAAACAATATATAAGGCACATGATAGTAGAATGGTATAGTAATATGACATAGGAATGTAATAAGATGGCTCAAATCACAGCCTGCGCCAGGATTGGGGCTCAGGGCTTTACAGGGGTGAAGGGTTTAGGGCTCTCAGGCTTATATGGTTGAGGGCTTACGACGGGGCTTAGAGGGCTTCAAGGGCTTCTTACAGGGCTTCGGAGTTTTGGTGTCGAGGATGAAGTCTCCAATGCAGCGCAACGCTTCGAGTCCGACAGGCCAAGAAGACCAGCCGCCGAACCGGACCCATCCCGCCCCGTGCGAAAGAGGAAGACGGAGAGAGAGAGGGGAAGCAAGCAACAACAATCATAGAGCAAGAACAATTTATAAAAAAAAGACGCAGGGGGGGAGAGCCGTAGTTTCGGATCAACCTCCAGCTACCGACATGCAGACTCCTGGGGTGGGGCCCGTGCAGATCCGGGCGCAGTGTTCGCAAGCGTCCAGGAACATCACCAAGGGCATCTGCAAGCTGCTGACCTGAGTGCCCGCTGAGGCTCTCTGAGGGCCGCAGGGGTCTTATTTCAACACAGCTCGCGTGAACCATTGCTTGGAGGTTCATGGGACTTAATAACCACTTATAACTGGCCTTATAACCCTACTTATAATACCCCTAAAGGGCCTTATAGGGGTTATCCAAATTATAAGTAGGGTTATAAGCCCAGTTATAAGTGGTTATTAAGTCCCATGAGCCTTCAAGTACAGGCAACGGCGTAAGGACGGGACGCTGTTGTATTCCTCCAGGTACTCTTCAATGCATTCTTTCATTGCCTTGCAATCAAGGTGGTGCCAAGCAGACCCCCTAACAAAACGTGCAAATTGGTTCCCCAAAGTAAGGAAATCTAGGGGCGTTAGTAGTTAGAATAGGTTTTTTTCTTTTTTTTTTTTTGGGGGGGGGGTCTTATTGCAAAATTATAAATGGGTCAGAGGGAATATTATTGCTCAGGAAGCCCTAAACCCTAAACCCTAAACCCTAGACCCTTTTGGGTTTCTTCGTTTCGGGCTTAGGCGTTGAACATGAGCTAGGGGTTAAATGGGGGTTTGGGGTTCTAGGGGTGTGTAGCACATTTATGTGTGAGCCTGAATGTTGGTGACCTCCTCGTAGTAGCGCTGATCAGCCTCAGGCTCAGCAGGACGCTAAAAGCGCGTAGGGTTTAGGGTTTAGGGGTTTAGGGGTTTAGGGGTTTAGGGGTTTAGGGGTTTAGGGGTTTAGGGATGGGCACGGTTGCCTCATATGCGAGTCCGAGAGATCTGCACAGACAGGCAGTGCAAACTGCCAGCTGCCCTTGCTAAAGTCATGGCTCGGAACGAAGTGGAACTATGACTCAACCTCTGACAAACATGAACCGACCGCCGCGATCTGGTCAGAGAGGCGTCGACACGCAGCCCCAGTCCGCGCATAGGAACTGGGGTGGCGACATCTTGGTTCAGGAAGGAGGCGAACAACAGCCTCTCCCGGACGAAGATGTTCCTTGGTCAGATTGGGAATGGCTGTTTCTCGGGTGTAGGGTGCCTAGAACCCCAACTGTAATTACTTCTTTCCGCTGGTGAAATATTATACTATATCGGCACTCCAACGTAGGGAGGCCTGCAGCAACGGAATTCTACTAGTGATTGATGCGGGGTGAGAGCGGGTTTCTTGAAATTATTAAGGGTTCAGGCCCGGGGAAGTTCCGAGGAGTTTCGAGCAAAGTTTCGAGGAGCCCCTTAGTTTTTGAGTAATTCCCAAGCTAAAGCTGCTTGAGGGTGTTAAGTTTAGGGCGAGAACCTTAAATCTGCAAGGCTGCAACTGCTCAACAAATACCCCTTCCCCTAAACCCTAAACCCTAAACCCTAACCCCTAAACCCTAAACCCTGAACCCTAAACCCTAAACCCTAAACCTTGAGCCCCTGCAACCCCCACCGTTAAAGCTCACCCAAAGCCTCTAACGCCCTAAACCCTAAACCCTAAACCCTAAACCCGAAACCCCTTTGCTGAGATCTGGGCTCTACTTCGACCTGGAAGTCTTCCTCCAGGCAGCCTTCAGACGTTCAAAGCTGGGCGCTTGCAGGGGTTTAGGGTTTAGGGTTTAGGGTTTAGGGTTTAGGGTTTAGGGTTTAGGGTTTAGGACGGCGGGATGCTCCTGTAAACCACGACAAGATCACACGAGATACTTAGTAGTATTCTTATTGCTATTATTGATATGTCTGTGTCCATTAGTACGATTACTGTTCGCATTACTCTCATTGTTCTGAAGACATATGACGGCTTGTAGAGGCTTCTATGCCAGTGAGACTTGCTGGGGTTCAGGGTTGGGGAAATCTAAGCAACATATGGAATCCGTGGTCCTGTAACCCTAAACCCTAAACCCTAAACCCTAAACCCCAAACCCTAAACCCTAAACCCTAAACCCCTAAACCCCGACCCCTGAACCCTATAAACCCAACACGATGTCGAGGTCCAAGTGGCTCTTGACCTGTTTCTGCATCCAGCTGGCGTCTGGATCATCCGTCAGACGGTCCCCGAAGACCTGGTCCGAATCTCTCAAAGCACAGATACTCGGCACCAAGAACAGCATCATCGGCCAAAAGCAGAAATAAGGAGAATATTCATAACAATGATAAGTTCAATACTTCTGCTACTACAAGTACTCATACGAATACTAATACTCGTGCTAACGCTAATACTAGCAGAGCTCATTTGTGTGCTTGAACGTGCCCCTTCCCGCAGGCCCGCTGGATCTCGTGACACCAGCAGCGGATCACGATGTCACGATGGTTTGCCTGCCAGGCGCAAGATATAGAATATGGCATAGACAACAATCGGGCACACAAAGCCCTAAACCCTAAACCCTAAACCCTAATCCGGAATTGGGTTCAGGTAAGGTTGAATACAAGAACTAGGGCTCCAGGCCGATGCAATCCTTTACTTGTTGGGGGCTTCGGCGCCTAAACCCTGTAGCTTCCGGTTTAAGACGTAGAGCTAGCCAGCCCCCTCCTAACCTCTGACCCTAAACCCCGAACCCCTACATCCTTGAGCCCGAAGTTTTGTAGCGGCTGTGCCGGGGATCAGGGTTCAGGCTTTTGAGGTGGAAGGGGGGGCGGGGGGGGGGGGTATACTACTGTTTGCTTAAGAACTCCACGAGAATGAAAAATAATGGTACCCATGTTAACCTTAATAAGCAAGAATATGTTTTTATTTTTCCGGGGTTCTCAAGCAATTAGTAGTATAAGTATAATTCTTCCGACCCCTGCATTAGACGGTGATCCTGGTTTCGATGTAAGAAGCCTGCGACCAGGCCGTCATCCCTTTTGGGGTTACTATTACTAGTTGAGGGTTTAGGGTTTAGGGTTTCGGGTTTAGGGCTTAGGGTTTAAGTTTAGGGTTTAGGGTTTAAGGTTTAAGTTTAGGGTTTAGGGTTTGGGGTTTAGGGTTTAAGTTTAGGGTTTAGGGATTAGGGTTTAGGGTTTATAGGGTTTAGGGTTTAGGGTTTAGGGTTTAGGGTTTCGGGTTTAGGGTTTAGGGTTTAGGGTTTAGGGTTTAGGGTTTAGGGAATATCTTGGGCACCCAAGAAGGGGCCATCGTTGAGAGAGCACACCATATACAAATGCTGGTAAGTAGTACAATATCCTTACCAGGATGGGCTATTCTATCCTATAATCCCTTAAAAAGGCCCTTTGTAGGGTTCATTTGAGGGGTTCTAAGGCCTAATAGCCCATCCTGGTATTTCTCCAAGGCCTGTTATTTCAGGGTTCTTTGTGCCCCCAAGGCCTTAGTTGTAAAAGGTCTTTGGGCTGGTTTGCGCCTATGGCTGTGTGTCTATGTATAGAGAGAGAGCCTTGCAAACCGTGCCAGAGACTAGATGCACCAATCCCTTAGACTGTTTGATGCGACTTGGCATTCCGAGATCGCCTGGGTCCAATGCTGAAGCAGCCGCACCCCAAACCCTAAACCCTATAAACCCCATAGACCCTGTAAACCCTATAAACCCTAGAAACCCTAGAGCCCTAAAACCCTAAACCCAAAAACCCTGAACTCAAAAAAAAACCCTCAAACCTCAACACCTGTCTGAGCCTCACAGCTGCAGGCCTGAGGCTCCGAATCCATCAGGCTCTCAACTTTAAACCTTCTAGTGGCCCTAAACCCTTAACCCCTAAAACCCTCAAACCCTACACCCCCCTAAACCCCTAGCACCAAGACCACGAAGTGCCATCAGCCTTCTTGGAGCTCAAAGTGCATAGCCCGAGGAACACCTTGGCAGCGCTTGCCTACTTGGAGGTTCAGGGTTTAGGGTTTAGGGTTTCGGGTTTAAGGTAACTGTACTTATATGCGCCCTACATGTCCCCTAGTTAAGTCCTCTGAGTCGGATGTAGGCGAACTTATTAATTGGGGTTATAAGTACCCATGAACCTCCAAGTAGGGTTCTTGAGGAGGTACAATAAGGTTTATACTGTCCTGCGCACAGATGTAGATGCGTATATGTATATGTACTAGTATATGTGCATTGCAACATCAATTCTTCTCCATGTGGTTCTACAGGTACTTGGGAGTCCAGGGATGATCAAGGCTTGAAGGCTGTTCGAGGTCTCTAAGTCTCGAGCCACCTCCGGTACATGAAAGCACCCATTACAGACATGTGCGTCGTATCAACAAGGGCAAGAGCCAATCGCAAACCCTTTTCTTACGGCACCTGCTAGCATGGTCGGCTTCCTCAGCTGCGAAAAACAAAGCTTAGTTGCTGAGTTCCTAAGCCCCGAAAAGTGTACACTTTCAGTTCTATAGGAGATTATAGTATCCCAAGAAGTGTAAAGTGCACTCATTCAGCTACTAAGGAAGCAAAGCCCTAAATCACCTTGCGAGTAGCCCATATCAGCGAGAGATGAACCGGGCCCCCTGCTCGCCAGATGTCGCGCAGATTGAACAGGTAGTGCGACTTGGCCGGGGTCGGCAGCAAGTCCTGGAATGTCCCGTTAGGGCGCCTCATGATCTGCAGGAAAGTTATCCCGGAGTGTGTTTTTTTTTTTTTTGTGTGTGTGTGTGTGTGCGTTTTCCTTTGCTGATGGGATTTGAGGCTTTGGATACTCTGAGGTACCATACGAGCCCTAAACCCTAAACCTTAAACCCTAAACCCTAGGATTGGGCTGACGTAGTAGGCAAGCTTGAAGCACACTTGCAGAACGCCAGCTGTGCATGGACCTCAACTCCGGCACACACAATTCCACCACACCCTGCGGGTTTAGGGTTTAGGGTTTAGGGTTTAGGGTTTAGGGTTTAGGGTTTAGGGTTTAGGGTTTAGGGTTTAGGGTTTAGGGGCCGTACCATTACAGAATCAGGTACCCCGAAATGCTACTTTAGCAAGCGTTTGGTTACCGAATGCCTTAACGGTAGTAATTCTTCAAGGTGAACACTCTGGGCACGATTCCCCTGTCAGGTGCAGATTCCACAAAAGTACTGGACGTGGACCCATTGGCTCGACCCGTAAACACGCTTACCTTCAACCCGAAACGAAACCATAGCAAAAAAGTTGTGACGCTGTGAAAATCCCGACTCTTGTGCTGCGAAGCCTAGGAGAAAGAACCACGAACTGAAAACGCGCCTAAACCTCATGTAGGCTCTAAGCTTATACAGTTTGGGCGGTTTAAGCTAAGGGTTTCGCCAAACGCCCCTAAACCCAGAATCTGAAGCTATCTGTCCTGGAGTGCCTGTTTGAATATCTTCACGGTGCAATTGATCCTGGGCCGATGCTGGGGTGTGATTCAGATGTAGGTTTGGGGATGTTGGTTGTAGAGTTAGGGTTGCCAGTGCTGGGATTTCGTCTGGGGGCTGAACCCTAAACCCTAAACCCTAGACCCTAAAGCCAGAACCACAAACCCTGGTTTCGGGTTTGGAGCAGGGAGCTTATAAACCAACCCCCGTAACTTTACAGGGAGCTCAGGGTTTAGGGTTTCGGGGCATATCACATGCCGCCCTAAACCCTAAACCCTCCTAAACCCTAAGCTCTAAACCCCAAACCCTAAACCCTGAACCCTATAACCCTAAACCTAAACCCTAAACCCTACAAACCTACAAACCTAATCAGTTGAGCGTTTAAGGGGGGTTGGGGGTTTGGGGGTTTAGGGGTTTAGGGGTTTGGGGGTTTAGGTGAGGGTTCAAACTTCTTCGCCCTCTGATACGAACAAACTGTACATTATGGCAAAAAGCACACTAGTTGCCACTTCTGGTACATCATTACCATAGTGTCTATGATGCATAATGTAGCTTTCTTTCGCTCAGTAGACATGACCGTATGTTGATCTTGGTAGCCCAGTAACCATATTGCAATAAGGGCACCCTTTCTGGGGGAAGGGAACCTTGAACGAACAACAAGGGAAACTGTTACCACTGGCCTTCCAAGGTGATACACTAAACCCTTACACTACCTCTAACCCTAAACCCTAAACCCTAACCCCTAAACCCTAAACCCTAAACTCTAGACCCTAAACCCTAAGCTATGGTGTAGACCACTGCCAAATGACTGAGACGGCGGCATGCAGGGGATGGTTGCTTGGATGGCCTCGTCGAACCTGCTCAGGGAATGTCGGGCTTGGGAGCTTTGAGTTTGTGGGAGCCACCAAACCCCAAACCCTAAACCCTAAACCCCAAACCCCAAACCCCAAACCCTAAACCCTAAACCATAAACCCTAAACCCTAAACCCGAAACCTGTAAGGTTCTGGGTTTTGAGAGCCTTTAACTTCGGCCTCAAGTTAGGAACGCTAGTTGTCATGTGTTGCCCTTCATTCTGGTTCATGTCAGACTTGCTTGGGCCTTGAGCACCGCCGACAAATATTCCTAGATACGATTTAGGGTTTAGGGTTTAGGGTTTAGGGTTTAGGGTTTAGGGGAATGGAGAAGGAGGGGCGAATCCAGGCAGCGCAGTTCAAGATGGGCCAACCTACACCACAAGCCCACGTCCCCAAAAACACTTGGCTTGTCTGGGATACCTAAGAGCCTTAAAGGGGGTTAGAGAAACCATAAGCAGGTTTTGTGCTCTTCGTGACACCCTAGACACCCCCTCAACCGCAAAAAAAGGTTGAGTTCAGGTCGGCTGCTCTGATACCGCGCAGTGTGACCTTGATGATAGCTAGCCTGAACCCTACGCTGCCCAGGACTCGGTGGCGGGGGTGGCGGGTGGGATGGCCGGGAGGGGGCTTCCTGAAGGAAAGAAACTTCTAGGTTTTAGGGTGTGCAGCACGGGGGGTGGTAGGCATGTGGCCACTGTGGCAGCCCACGCTTCAGGCCCCGACCCAGCGAAGAAGTAGTTGGCAATGGTGCGGAAGATTTGAGAGATCGACTCATCCTTCACGGGATCCGGCTGACAATTCACTCTCAAGTTCCCCAGGTGGTTGGGTCTAGTGTACATGAAGTATTTGTGGGATTCAGTGGTAGTATCCCAGAAAGACACTTCATGTATGCACCCACCAAGATTGATAAGGTACCCGAGAAAACTCACCAACAATGGTCACATACACCCTCTTTGAAATATTTTGAGGGATTTGGGACCTTAGGGGGCCCAGCGAGCACGAACTGCCAGCTTCAACTTCCTTTTCTCGATACTTGATGCTTGAATGCCATCGCCTCCATGTGCTTGCTGAGCTGCCGCAACGCATACCCTAAACCCTAAACCCTAAACCCTAAACCCTAAACCCCTAAACCCTAAACCGGAAAAGTTGACTGTGCTGCAGGATGAGACGAGCAGTTTGAAGACAAGGCTTGGGGACTTCTTCAACTCCACATTTGGGATCACATATCCTATGCCACTCTAAGCCTAAGTTGTCCCTTGTTCAAGTCTGTGGATTAATTTCATGCACTTTGGGGGGGTTCATTCCATGCCCCAGGATGTGCAAGTGCATCGCACCGAGTTGTGCAGATGGTCGTGGTTACTCTTGGGGACTCACTGCGCCATGAAAGGGCTCAAGCCCCTCTTAACCTGCAAGGCGACAACTTTCTGCACTAAACTCTCCACACTCCCCAAGGAGGAGCAATGAAGTCGATGCCCAGGTCTGCTTCTGCGGGGGAGTTGCGCATGAGGTGATCCGGCCAGCAAGCCCAAAAATGCTAATCCTGCCTTGATAACTTGACCCTAAACTCTAAACCCGAAACAACTAAACATTAAACCCTAAACCCTAAACATGAATCCCTAAAACCTAAACCCCAATGAGCAATGGCTTGAGGGCTCAGGGGTTCATGGCTCTAGCCCTCAACCTTCAACCCCTCCACTATACTCCTTATGTATATCCTCTTGGGTTTTATATCAACAAACATTAAAAACAACTAATTCCCAAGGGGGATAGGGATATAGTCCACATTCTCAGAAGGGTACAGGGGTTGGCGCTACTTTATACAAGGGAACCTCGAGTCGACAACAAGGGGCACAAAGGGGTACCACAACCCTAAACCCTAAACCCTAAACCCTAAACCCTAAACCCCTTTGAGACTGTGAGTTCGGAGGCGTCCTGGAGGTCGGAGTATGCCAGCACCTGGGTAGGCACGCATTCGAAGCTCGCTGGGCCTTTTGGGGAAGTTACCATCTAGCTTAGCAATTTGCAGGATTCGTCTTCGTAACATCCTAAACCAAGCCTCAAAGAATCCTGTAGAAGGTTCGCCTACTTGGTAGCCCAGTAGCCATATTATAATAAGGGGCACCCCTTTTTTGGCTAGCTTATTTTATAAGGGAACCCATAACCAAAAGAGGGTAAAGGGCACCACTAGCCTACCAAGCCAACCCTAAACCCTAAACCCTAAACCCTAAACCCTAAATCCTTAACCCTAAACCCGAAAACCCTAAACCCTAAACCCAGAAGACCCTATTGAGTCTATGAGGTTGGAAGGCGTCCTGAAGGGAGCAGCCTCTGGAGCCAAACTCACAGGTTGCAAAGCTGAGCTTGCAACATTGTAGTGGCGCTTCAAGCCTTGGTTGTTGGCTTAAGGTTTGGGTTTGGGGTTTCCGGGATCAGGGTTCAGGGTTTAGGTTTTCAGGGTTCAGGGTTTAGGGCATGGGTTCTGCTTTATAGACTAGGGTTTAGGAAGCTTGGGGTTTGGGGGGGTTTAGGGTCTCAGGGTCTCGCGGGCTCCCTAGACCCGATCCGGCGACTGAGAGTACTTATACTTGCGTATACATGTGTACAGGTGTGTTACGCGATTTTTGTGTATGTCGGGGAGTTTATATACCATATTGGGGGGGGGGGGGGGGGGGGGGGGGGTACCTTATTGGCCTTATTAATACGGGGATCATAGTATTCGGGGGTCTATGTTCGGGGTCCCTGATTCTCGAAAACCCCCATGTGTATACATGTAGGTACAGCATCAGAACATGGCTTTGAAGCAAATCCACTGGGCTCTTGTTACTTGCTCTACTGATGCCGACTCTGCGATTTAGGGTGATCTCAAGGAAGGGCTGATCTGGATCACACACTTTACTTCGAGCAGCAGGTACACTGCAAAATCCTGCTGAGCTTCGGTGTTAGGTTAAGTCATCAACCCTAGTGATGCACACTCACACCCCTTTCCGAGAAGGAACTCCTTGTGCCCAACTTGTCTTCGAAGTGTCACTTGCAAGACTTACTATATGCGCCAGAAACCTCCCGCTGTAGTTTCCGACGGACGAAAGTCGTCATGATCAAAACTATGCCTGTGGGAAGCTTGCAAGTGTCCTCACAGATCTGGATGCGGCTAGGGTTTAGGACTACGGTTTACGCATTTGAGGGCTCAGTTGAGCATATCAAGCCGCGTGCTTTCGTGCAACCAGAACCCTAAACCCTAAACGCCACAACCCCAAGAACACTTCATGAAACCCTAAACCCTAAACCCTATAAACCCCTAAACCCCCAAACCCCACAACCCCCCGACCCTAAACCCTAAACCCTAAACCCTAAACCCTAAACCCTAAACCCTAAACCCTAAACCCTAAACCCTAAACCCTAAACCCTAAACCCTCAACTTCACGAGCCCTCTCTGTGGCTGCCGGCGCTCGGTGATGAATGTGCCTGGGCTTCAGGCGAGTCTTTTACCGCCTTGAGAGGGTTTAGGGTTTTAGGGTTTGGGGTTTAGGGTTTAGGGTTTAGGGTTGAGCATGAGCTAGTTGGGACTGAGACCGACTTGCAAATTCACAAGAATTTAGGGCTTATAGGGGTTAGGGTTCAGGGGAAAATTATAGTTGCTGTCTTGCTTAAGTTCGTCGACTTTGGCGTGGGATCGCGACCGCCCACACAACTACTGGCCCGTGCTGTGCAGGCGTTGGCTAGGCGTTGGAGCTAGACCCTAAAACGCTGCCATCCCTAAAGCCCTAAACCTCTAAACACCCTAAAACCCTAAAACCCAAAAACCCTAAAACCCTAAAACCCTAAAACCCTAAAACCCTACAACCCTAAAACCCTACAACCCTAAAACCCTAAAACCCTAAACGCTAAAACCCTAAACACTAAAGCCCTAAGACCGAAACCCCTATAAGGAGATTCACCTACCTTAGGGGTCGGACTACTTACGAGAGAATACACCCTTAGAAACCCTTTGGTAGCTTTAAAGGGGGTTTAGGGTCTAGCGTTTAGGGATATCAGAAAAGCCTCCCTCATCTAACTATTCAGGCCCCCTATATTAATATAACATCAGCCATATGAATCACCAAAACCCATTTGAAATTGCTTGGTAGCCCGGTAACCATATTACAATGAGGGCACCCAGCTTTTGGGTTGGTTAGTATATAAGGGGGCCCTCTAAAACCCTAAACCCTAAACCAAAAAAGGAAAACATGGGTACTAAAACTCTAAACCCTAAACCCTAAACCAAAAAGGGACAACAAGGGTACTACTGGGCCACCAAGATTATTCAGGCCCAGTCGCTGGTCGGGTTTAGAGTTTAGGGTCTAGGACTTCGGGCTTAGGACTTAGGGTTTGGGCGTTTGGGGACTTGAGGTTTCGGGCTGAAAGGCTTGACGGGGTTTCGGGCTGAAAGGGCAATCAGGGTCGAGGTCACTGGGGTGAAAAACGGTCTCATGCACTCCCCTTTTTGCGCTGGGTCATGTCCTCCCCACGAAAGTAAGAGCCACCACAAAGAAGTCGTAGGTGTAATAAGAGCCCCTTATGAAGCTCTTGCAGCTGTGATGACACGGCGCACACAACCTCAATGTCAACTGAGCCCTAAATCCTAAATGAAACCTAAACCCTGCAAGAACCCCTCATAACCCAACAGCCCAAAGCCAGACATCCTAAACCCCAAACCCAAATAAACCCATTCATTTCAGGAATTTGTCCACCGATAGAGTTGAAGTTGTCCCTATAACCTGAACCCCTAAATCCTAAAACCCCAAAACCCCAAACCCCAAAACCCTAAACCCTAAACCCTAAACTGAACCCTAAAAAAACCCCAACAAAGTCCGAGCGACGGCCGCCACCGGGAGGGCCCATCGCTGAGGCCATGATCTTAGAAATGCAGTCAGCTTGCACTGGGTTCAGGGTTTAGGGTTTTGGGTTTTGGGTTTCGGGTTTAGGGTTTAGCTTCAAGGAAGTACGGTTTTAGTACTAGCAACCCCACAAGGACACGCCATATATGATGGGATTAGGGTTTATAAGGGTTTAGGGTTTAGGCGTTAGTCACCAATATGCCACAGGAGCCCTACATACATCCATCAAAACCTTAGTACGTACGAACCCCACACAAGATCGACCCCCTACATGGTCTAAACCCTAAACGCTAGGTCCTAAACCCTAAACCCTATAAACCCTAAACCCTATATGCAGAATGCAGAAGGCGTTCAGCGTCAGCTCCGCACCATATCCGTGATGTCGAACTTCTTCAGCTCCTTCCTGCGTACGTGGACATGGGCTGCTTGTAGCCCCACTCTTTGACAAGTCGCATTACTCCCACCTCCCCCTTAAACGCCCTCCCCCATACTCCAACAACAACACAAAAAGAGACGAAGCGCAACGCTTGAATCACTTCCAGCATTCCAATTCTGGCCGGAAAAGGCCCCGAAGGAAGGCAGCAAAACAGTTCTCTGTGTATGTATTCTGTGTATCTGTGTATGTATTCTGTTTACATGTTATTTCGAAACTTTAAACCCTAAAGCCCTCTTTGTTGGCAGCCCTAAACCGTGAACCCTAGATCGGGGGGAGGGGGGGGACAGTGGGTTTAGGACCACAAGAGTTGGAAGCTGCAGGCGTCCTGTTGTACCACCCGCCATGGTCATGCCACTGACGCAGCCTTCTACGTGCCAAGCGTTAAGAGGTTCGGGGAAATTCTCGGGCTCCATGGTCTTTGTAAGGGTTTGTAAGAGCTGATAAGCGTTTGTAATGTTTTGCCAGGCTTGCCAGTTCCAAGAGTTGACAAGAGTTTGAATGAGGCTTTGCAGGGTTCATAAAGCTTAGGGTTGTAGGGTGTATACTTCTGGGGCATAGCCGAAGAACTACCTAGGATGCAAGATCTGGGGCCCTGGGGCAAAGACTTTACTTTATTGAGCGGAACCGATATTGGGGTTCACAAAAAAAGGACCCGTAATAATATAGACCCCCAAATAGTAGGATCCCCTTGAATAAGGACCCCAATAAAGTAACCCTAACAGCGTAAACCCACATATGCAAGGCAGCCGGTGGTCGAGCACCAGGCCCAATGAAGGCAACCACCCTCAAGATCCGTCTGGGGCTGCGGCAGTTCGATGGGCGGCTGTGCACCGTAGTACTCTTTCTGGGGCATGTTCCTGGACATCGGATGGGACCCTAAACCCTGACGCCTAAACCCTAAACCCTAGACCCTAACCCTGAACCCAGCGCAAGGGGGCCGCAGGTTGCGAGATGATCCAGGGGTTCGTATCCTCCAGTCAGTCTTGAGGCCCCAAACCCTACACCACATATCGAACCAAACTCACCCTAAACCAGCGCCTGGCTTCTGCTGAGGTTTGGTTTAGTACTTAGGGTTTGGGGTTTCGGGTTCAGGGCTTAGGGGGGGGGGGGGGTTTAATGTTGCACCCGGTTTAGTGAGGGGGGGGCACTATTATGCGTTTTTCCGGCAATCTTATAGAGGACCCCCCTTTGATTAGGGTGGTCCGCAATTATGCGATGTTGCCCCGGCCGGTGTTGCCCGCTAGGGGAAGAAGGGGCTCTGCCCTTAACAAAAGAAAGCTGAAGGCTGGTTTCTGCCGACTACTAGTACTACTAGTACTAGTGGTACTACTAGTACTACTAGTACTACCAGTACTACTAATACTACTAGTACTACTAGTACTTACTGCTACTACTACGACGACGACGACCCCAGCCCACACTATTCAGGATCCCCGAAAAGCCGACAATTGTTTGGGGAGGTCCCTGCGCACTAAACCGAGTCCAACATTAGGGAGTCATGATTTTGATAGTGCCGTTTTAGGGTTTAGGGTTTAGGGCTTAGGCTTTGCAGTTTAAGGAAGCGCACACAAAGAGTACTTATCAATGCTACAGCATTGGCCCCGCACTCTCCGAAATCTTCAGGTTTTAGGCTCTACTTTTTGACGCTTTGGAGTGTGGTTGCATGTCCATTTTTCCATGTCAGAAGTGTATACAGGACTGATCGCGAGGATGTGTAGGGTTCCGGGTGCAGGGTGCTTCGTGGCCTCAGCCCAAGCCCGAATCCCTGGCCCTAAAGTGCGCCAGGCAGGCAGGTCATCTACGAAGAGCACCATCTTCTTGCCCGCCGGGGGGCCATAGACGCCACGACGCCTCGAAGGGTTCGGGTGAGAGGTGGCAGCAGGCGAAAGCATGGTCAGATCCCAACCCCCCCACAAGCCTAACAGCCACTTTGAGCATACTTTGAGCGTTCAGGTTCTCAGCAACCCGAAACCCCTAAACCCACTTTGTACCGGCTAGCGAAAACAAACGCTCCCCACGCCTCTTCTCGAGCTTGCTGTCGATCAAGTCCTGGAACCTGACTTTTTGGGAATCGGGGTTGGAGAGGTTTAAGGGTTTGAGGTTCAAGGGTTTCTGTGGCTTTTGGGGACTGCGGGTTTTTGGCTTTGAGGTTTTTTAACGTTAAAAAAAGCATTTAGCGTTTTTAAACGTTTAAAAAAACCCTACAAGAGGGGCTGTGTTTGGTGGCTCTGCCCGACCTGGAAAGGAACCTCTGACAGGAGCCGTCATTGTTTCACTGGAAAGCCATGCCGCACGAGAGGGTTTAAGGTTTAAGGTGTAGGAACATCGCTCATGCCACAATGCGCTCCGGCCTATGAGCCGTACTGTTGGGGTGGAAAACCCTATGCGACGACCGTAGACTAGAACCCCTGTCAACCAGCCCTTTAGGTGGTGAGTGAACTTCGGGATTAGGAATACAAAGCTGAGAGCAGAGCTGGTTGACGTGCGTTTGGGCCTTAGTCATCACTCACCGCAAAGTGGACTCAGCTCGATCCGGCCTCGACTGGGCGCTATACCTGCTGCAATCCTAAACCACACACTCTCAACCAACAAGGGTTGTGTCAAAGGTGTGCTTACTCCAACTTTCTGACTTGCTGGTCTGGCAGGGGCTTTCGAGTTGCATGAATGCCGCAGCTGCTCCACTGCATGTTTCATTCTGCTTGATGAAGCTCACCCTGCGTACCAGTTTCACTGGTTCCGCGCGCAAAACGCTGAACGTGCTTGTTTTGGGCACCTGCGGTGCCGCTTAGGCCAAGGCCGAGAAGTTCACGAAGACGCCTGCAAGGGGGCTGTCACCCTAAACTCCAAACCCGAAGCTCTTTGGGTTTAGGGTTTGGGGTTTAGGGTTTTATAGGCCTTAGGGTTTAGGGTTACCCCCCAGATCCTCAACTCCAGAGCCTAAACCCTACAAAACCTTATGTACAGGGTCAGGTTCGTTAAGGGGCCGACTGAACAGAATCCACAGACCAGCGTGAGCTGGCCATTGACGAGACAGATGGGGTTGTGCCAAACGATTCTCTCCATATGGGAACCTTGGTCCTGGAATCTTTTGGGCACGCAAATCTTGATCTTGGCTAGGCTCAAGATAGCCACAACCCGTGAAATCCTACAGTAAGAGGCCTTAACACCTTACATCCTAAACTAAACCCTAAACCCTAAACCCTAAACCCTAAACCCTAAACCCTAAACCCTAAACCCCCATAACCAGCTTTTTTGGGGGGCGGTCTGTCAAGGCCAATGCCAGCCTGAGAAGTGCTCCGGAGCCTGTTTTTGAAGCCACATGGAGATGTTCACACCTCGGGAGACAGGAACTACCGAGTTTAGGGCTTAGGGTTTAGGGTTTCGGGTTTAGGGTTGAGGGCTTAGAAGAACCCATCACCACAAGTTGTGCATGGACCCTCTTAGCCCAGAGCCTTGCATCTCAAAAAGCTACTTGGAGGTTCATGGTACTGACAAGTGGGGCTATAGCTAAGTAGGGTAACCGTTCAAATCCCTCAAGTTGGGGGTACTTATATTTAAAACGCTACATACGATGACCCACAACCTCCAAGTCTGGCTGTTCACGTGCAAAAACCCTGAAGCTTCCTGAAACCCAACTCCCGAGCTCCACCATCCCTAACCACCCGAACGGCCCAGAGAAGGCAGCACAAAGCCATTCCAAAGGACCCCAAGTAGTAAACGTACTGTAGATCCTAGACTCCCAAAAGACCCAACCCCTCAAATCCCCTAAACCCTTTAGAACCCTAGCTGAGAGCTGCACAGAGCATGCAACAAGTCCCTTGAAAATCTGCCCCTGACTGCTGTGTATCCCCCCAGAATCGTAGGCACTTAAATGTCCCAAGTATGACAGAGTCTTGGCCGTCTTGGCGCTGTCAAGCTTCCCGCTCCACCCTGTGAGGCCTCCCCAAACCCTAAAACCCTTCAAGACACTAAGCCACTTAAGCACTACACTACACCTTGATACCCTACAAACCTTGCAAGCCCTGACCCTGTAATTGTCGGTGACCTGCCGTATCCAAAACTAACACCTACCTTTTGGAGGTATGCACCTTAAACCCCGTGTGGATCGCATAAGCCCTGCACTCATGCAAGTCACTCAACTGGACCGAGCTTAGGGTCCACAGCCGGGGGGCCCCACTCTTGCCAGTGCCCGTGGGGCCAGGGCACAGGACGTGCTTGTCATGGGTGATCAGGATCCTCGGAGACGACTTGTAGAGAGGGCTAACCGGGTGTGAGCCGTTGCCTGATCGCTTGAGGGTTCTGTGAGGCTAGCTGAAGCTCCCTTAACCTGCAAGCTAGGCCCAAAGTGTCAGACATATGCCGTGAGCTCAGTCGAATCTGCGGTGTGACCAATCCATGAGGCAGGCTGGGCCCGCGCAACTGCACGCTGCACCGACTCGGAACCCCATAGACACACACGGGGGTTTCCGAAATTAGGGGTACCTTATTGGGTCCTTACTTTATCCTACCTCTTTTTTTCTCTGGAGGTCCCTTATTTTCGTGCAACCCCCACATAATCCTGCATTAGATTCCTGGAATTGGGTTCCCACTGGGCAAGGGGCTGGAAAGCGTACACCAGCCGGACGGAGTCTATGGACGGCACCACCTGGTGTGGGCATCTTGGACATGTGGCTGAAACTCGGATGACACTCAAGTGCTACCCTGAGTTGAAACAGTCTGTTCTTGACAGGATGGAGTACTTCAATAAGGAGCCTGAGCCGCCTTCCCCCAACCGTAAGAAAAACTTCCCCTCCCTCAAACTCGCCGGTGGACGATCTCGTCATACTGCGCGGCTCGGGGAATCTCGAAGGCTGGGATCGTCTCCATCCTGGTTTTTCCCCGAACCCTAAGCCCTAGTAAGTCTACACCCCAAACCCTAAACCCTGCATCCTTAATCCCGCTAAGCCTAAACCCTAAACTCTGCACCCTAAACCCTACTAAGCCTCTCACATAACCTGAGCAGCACAGTTGTTCAGGTCGGAAAGGTGCCAAAGTCGCCCCATTGGCAAAAACCAAGGGCTCAGACCAGCAGACGCTGACCCCCTTAACCCTAAACCCTAAACCCTAAACCCTAAACCCTAAACCCTAAACCCTAAACCCTAAACCCCGAACCCCAAATCCTACAAACCCGAAACCCTGCAACCCTAAAGCGGTTGCGGCTACAGCTAAAACGTTGGCCTGCAGCCCCTTAGTGAGGCCCTCAGCTGCTTTGTTTGGGGCGAAGGGCGGGGGTTTTAGGGTGCAGGGTTTGGGGATTAGGGTTTAGGGTACCTTACAGGGTAGGGGGGCGGGGGGTATTTAGGGGGGTAAGGAGGGATCCTCGTTTGGAATGCTTGGCCCAAAGGCTTTTTGTCGGGCTTATGGGCGGGCTTAGATCTTAGGGTTTAGGGTGCAACACAACAAGTGTCCAGGGCTTCGTGGGGTTTTGGTATATAGTTTATAGGGTTTGTAGGGGGGTAGGGGATGAGGTTCTGTGTAATTAAGGCGTGGACCATGGAATCCATTGACTCTTCTGCATGTCGTAGAAGTAGTCGTAGACAAGGGCGCCGATGTCCATCCCTGTCAGCCTCGGGACTTTCCAAGTCTGCTGGGTACACTCTAAACCCTAGACCCCACCTACCCTACTAACGAGCAAAAATATATATATATATATATATAACATATAACATATATATATATACATATGTATATTACACACACAATATATATATATATATATATATAGCTATAACAGCTCTGTACATACCAGCGAAACCTCTATCATAATCCTATAAGTCCGAAACCGCTTTGATCTTCCCTGCCAGGAGGCTTAATGCCGTCGAGAACAGGCGGCAGCTCCACGTTCATGCCCTGCTCTGTTGGCTGATTGCCCCGGGCCCCTAAGACATCTAAGTACGTGGAAGCAAAGGGTACAGGCCCTATAGGTCTTATATTGATACAGAGAGAGAGAGAGAGAGAGAGAGAGAGAGAGAGAGAGAGAGAGACGACAAGGAATCTCAGGGTCATCGTACTTAGGCCCCCCTCGTTGGCTTAGGGTGTTGGAGGTTGGCCAAGACTTTGAGGGCAGCTGATAAAGGATCGCACTGGCAATATCACCCATAAGGCCGCCAACCCTGAACCCTGCACCTTTTCGTACTAAACTTAGTAAACTTGCTAAACCGCATGAGCCCTGAACTAAGCTGTGAATCAGGGAAAACCCCACGACTTGCTAAACCCTATAACCCCTAAACCAAGACATGAATCAGGACCCCCCCCCCCCCCCCCCCGGAGCACTGTCAACCTCACCCCCCTCCACCAGAACCTGCACTTCATTGTCGAGCCGGTCGTGCTTCTCCTGGCGGTTTCGGGTTCTTGGTTGCCCAGGAACCATATTATGACAGGGGGCACCCCTTTTCTGGGTTTGCTACTTTATAAGGGAAGGGTACCACTGGGCGACCAAGGTTAACATAGGGTTTGTGGCGCTTTATATATTTTTGTACCGGGTTTGTCCAAAGGTTTGAAGGGTTTTTAGCTTTTGAAGTGCTTAAGGGTGTTTCTTGAACTAAGGGGCTTATGGAACATGCATACTTTGATAGGGGTTCCAGTTGCACAGGGTATCTGATCCCAATTTGTTGGGGGTTGGGGTTGCTCAGGTCCTAGGCTGCCAGGATCAGGAGCGACGCCGACAGCAAACAAAAACAACGGTACTCACACAACTCTGCCACGAACCTCAACAACTCCAAGAACACTAAGACCCTGAACCTGCCCCCTATTTGAACCCTAACCCGAAATCCCGACAACTCTCAACCTGGCCACTAATTGAAACCTTAAGACCCAACATCCCTAAACCTGCCCATGAATTAAGCCTCTTGACCCAAAAGCCGTAAAACCCTTTCCTCCGCCCATGAATTAAACCCTAAACCCTAAATCCCTACACCCGCTCCTTAACTGGAACCCTAAACCCTACATCCCTAAACCTGCCCGGCTACTTGAACCCTAAAGACCCGACATCCCTAAACCTGCCCATGAGCTTAAGCCCTAAAGACCCCTAAATCCCTACAACCCTAAAGCTGCCCATGAACTAAACCCTGAAAGACCCCAAAAAGCCCTAAACCCTGAACCCGAAACCCGAAACCCTAAACCCGAAGCCCTAAACCCTGAACTCTAAACCCTAAGACCCAAGAAGCCCTAAACCCTGAACCCTGAACCCTAAACCCTAAACCCTAGGCCCTAAACCCTAAACCCAAAACCCTGTAAGACCCCCAAAAAGCCCTGGCCTGGTTGATGATGGCCCAAACCAACTTGGAGAAGGCGGGCCGCGTGGATCCCTCACAGGTGCCGCCCACGGACCAGACCTGGGGAGCTCGTTTATTTGGCTCTATAGGGGTCCGTAGGGTTTAGGGTTTAGGGTTTAGGGTTTCGGGTTTAGGGTTTAGGGTTAGGGTTATAGGGTTTAGGGTTTAGGGTTTAGGGTTTAGGGTTCAGGGGTTCAGGGTTTCGGGATGTAGGGGTTCAGGGCTTAGGGGTGCATGCAGCCGTTTGGTTCTCTCGGTTTTCTTCGGTTTCCAAGCCTGACCCTTAACAGCCGCTGCCAGTAAGCCCACGACCATGGCAAAGAAGAAGAGCGGCGTGATGTGAGCCACGAACTCGGCAACCTCGCAGAAATTTCTAGATCATATGGGGTGGAATAAGAATAAGCCGAAAGCCCTAAACTGCGGGTTTGGGGTAGTGGGCTTCGGGAGAGTTGTGGGTGACATGGTTTCGAGGCCTTCCCGGCTGCTGTTGCTGTAGCTGCTGTCACCCCACAACCCATGACTTTGGGGTTATGGGTTCAGGGTTTAGGGTTCTTGGAGCTACTGGCCTTAAGCAGAACTACCCCCTACCACCCCCCCCCCCCCCAACACAAAAAAGACACGCATCGAAGCCATCAACCCCTCCAAACGTTCCTCTTAAACCTGAAACCCTCTACGCCATCAACGCACCCTAAACCCTAAACCCTAAACCCTACACCCTAAACCCTAAACTTGCCCTAGACCCTAAACCCTAAACCCTAAACCCTAAACCCTAAACCCTAAACCCTAAACCCTAAACCCTAAACCCTAAAGAAAGACACTTCGGGTGGCCTCCTCTTTGAAGGCGGCAGCGGGTCGGAGTTCAGTAGGCTTAAAGGGGGCGAAGTAGCAGTCGAGCCTGCATCCGTGTGTCTAGGGTTTAGGGTTTAGGGTTTAGGGTTTAGGGTTTAGGGTTAGGGTTGAGGGTTTAGGGTTTGGGGTAGGATTTGGGGCTTCGAGTTTGGGGTGGAAAGGGTTGGTGGTTCACACGGCTTAGGGTTCAGGCTTTGTCCGGATTGCCCCTCAATTATCCTTTTGCCACGTTGATTTTGAAGCCAATAGGCTGCTATTATGGCCACTTTGAGGTTTCAGGTGTGGGTTTAAAGGTGTAGGGCCAGTGTCGGGTTGGGGATGATCCAAAATGAACTACAGAGACATGTAAAAGAGACCCGGAGTAAAACAACCGGGGGTTTTGGGGCCTGAGGATTTAGCGCTTCTTTCTGTCTTGTTTCACGCGCCCGTCAACCAATTTTATGGTCATGATGCTCGCTGCTACGGCAGATCCCAACTGGAAACCTCCCCCAAAGTGCAGCCTAACCTCTCTCCCACTCACACAGTCACACAACTCCTATCCTGACTTCAAGTTTTCATAATTGTGGGTAGTTGCTCCAGGTCGGGCTTTAATTACTTGACATAAGGCCGCGATGGCAGATATAGGCCAACAGCGAAGAAGGATCTGTCTTTTTTTTGTGGGCGAAGAGGATCCCCCCGCCCCAGCCATGACGGCGAGATAAGATCTCTCTTCTTCTGCAGAGCCTGACGAAGAGCACCCCCTCGCGCGGGGGCGCGCTGTGTCAACAGTTTTGTGTGAGTAAAACAAACATCGATCTGCGAAAGTGTGGATGTTGTCTGCTCTTTCTCTCTCTCTCTCTCTCTCTCTATATCTCTCTCTCTCTCTCTCTCTCTCTCTCTCGTCTCGCTTTATCTAGCAGGCCTCAACCCTTCGATTCACTAAGGCAAACCCTAAAGCCCCAAACCCGAAACCCTCACTACAATCGTCGATGCACTAAGGCCATGGCATCCGGAACAATGACTGCACCAAGTTCGTGTCTTGAGTCTGCACAACCTGACACGACAAGTATGGAGAGCTGCTGCTTCGGGTCTAGAGTCTAGGGTATACGGTTTCGGGTTTTCGGGCTGCCTTAAGGGTATGGAAATAGCCGGGAAAGCTGCGCTTGAAAGCAACTCAGAGCCGTTGTCACGTGTGGAGAACTGATCTTGAGCATGGTGCAGGATGTAGCAGCAGAATGTAGCGCCATGATAACACTTGATAGCCAAGCGCTCCCTTCCCGGCCCATATCTAGGCTCGTTTAACAAAGCTTCCTGGCCCACACGCGTATACGCCGCATGGTATTGTGGCGCAGCCGCCACGAGCTGAAGCGTGAAGATGTAGACCCGAAGGCCTTCGTAAACCCTCAACTTCCCCACGGCAATGGCCAATATACACTCTCTCTATTGTTTGTTTGTTGCTTCTTCTTTATTATTTATCTATTTATTTACTTATATGTATATATATATATGTTCTGATTCTCTGTTCTTTTTTTGGGGGCGAGGCAGGGTTGGGGTATAAGCTATTGGCTATTGTTCTCGGCACTTTGAGTTTGAGATCCCAGCTACACCCTTATAGCCGGCTGCAGCGGGCCTCCTTGCAGCACTTCCGGACGTACGCCACACTCGCCGGCAGAAGGCCCTGACCAAGTCAGACATGAGGTCCGATAACGGAAGGAACCAGCGACCTGATGACCTAAACCTGGTAACCCAAAAACCATATTTTCGCAAGGGTAATTACATCTGTGGGGTCCTTTTTTGGGGTTGGCTACTTTATAAGGGAACCTAGAACCAAACAAAGGGCGAAAGGGTACCACTTTTTCTACCAAGTACAAACTCTGGGTAAACAGGCACGTGCCTCACAGAACTTCCGCAATCGCCGTTCAATGTCCGGCCTGTGAACTGGCTCATGCACAGCTGAAGGGAAGGTAAGGCTTTTTTTTGGGGGGGGGTTGATTGCTGAAGAATTTAGGGCTAAGGGGTTTAGGGTGTTGAAGGGTGAGGGTTTAGGAGTTTAGGGGCTTCAAGGCTGAGGGTCAAGGAGTTCAGGGTCTAGGGAGGGTTTGGGCTGTAAGGGCGTCCAAAAGCAAGTTCCCTGACGTACCCTTGCAGATCCTTGCTTTTTTCCGCCGGACAGCAGACCATGAGAAGCGGCCTCCGGATCGAAGAGCCACCTAGGTTGCCCAGTAACCTAGGATTAGAAAGGGTGCACTTTCTTGCTTAAAGGGGTTTATAGGGAAACCTAGAGCCCCCAAAAAGGGAATAAGTGCACTACTGGGCATCCTAGCCACTGTTCAAATCCATGGTGCGACTTAGGCAGCCAGGGGGCAGGGGGAGGGGGAGGGGGTTCTTCTTAACCTCCAGCACCCCCACGCTAAACCCTGAACCCTAAACCCTATACCCTAAGCCCTGACCCTAAACCTAAGCCCTAAACCCTGACCCCTAAAACCCTCAACCCTCAACCCTAACCCTAAGCCCTAAACCCTAACCCCTAAACCCTAAACCAACCCTAAGACCTGTGTGGCACAGCTCAGGCCGAGCTCAGCCCGGCCAGCTCGTACATGCAAATAGCGGACGCGTGCGCGAGGTCCATGGTCCTTGGGTTGATAGGGTTTATACGGCTTCTATAGGGCTTAGGGGCTTTCGTTGTCGGTTTAGGGTTTAGGGTTTAGGTTAAGGGCTCAGGTTAAGGGTTTAGAAGGCTTCTGGAGTTTAATTCAGGGCTTTCGTTTTTTCGGTTTCCAGCAGGGTTTGGGAATGCACCTGTGGGAGTTGCGCGCCGACGGCAACACAGCTTGTTCAATGATGTAGCAGCTCGCGCCGCGTCCTAAACCCTAAACCCTAAATCCAAAACCCTAACCCTAAACTGCCCTAGACCCTAAACCCTAAACCCTAAACCCTAAACCTAAACCCTAAACCCTAAAAGAACCTGGGAACTCCAAGCCCTAAATGCTAAACACTGAACCTTGCACCCTAAGCAATGAGCCTCATTCCTTAAACATGAGTCCATTCCGGAAGCCTCACAGCCTCTGGAGCCACACTTGTTGCATTGAACCAACAACAACATCTACCTTACGCGTGAATTCAATCCTGGAATCCTCAACCGCCCTAAAGGCATACACCCCCTACCCATACATCCTAAAACCTCAAACCCTAAACAACCCGGTTCAGCCCATCATTTGCCCTCGGAGGACTCCCCATGGCTTGCGAGCGCAGGGTCCCCTCCAAATGACGCGGGATGCCAACCCAGGAAACGGCCTCCCCCAGGGCGGCCTTGAACAAGGCTTTAGGGTTTCGGGTTTAGGGTGTTTAGGGCTTAGGGTTAGTGTTTCAGGTTATAGGGCTTAGGGCCTTAAAGGGTTTATAGGGCGGTCCATGGGCAGCTCTTCCTCAATCATTCTCTGTGCCCCATCAACATGGCAATGGAGAGCCTATGGATCGGTCCAAAGACCCTCAAAACAAAGAAACTAAAAAAAACAAGCCCTGAAGTCCTAAAAAGCCCCAAACTCCCGATGTTTAGGGGGCTTACGGGGTTTAGGGTTTAGGGTTTAGGGTTTAGGGTGTAGGGTTCAGGAGAGCACTAAAACTCGCCTCGTGCTCCTGGCAGCCGAGGAGGAGGACCCAGCTCTTCTCTTCAGCAGGGCGCGACTGCCGGGCGAGTCCGACTTGGGGCGTCTTCGGCTTGCTGTTCAGAAGATTCCGGCTTAGGGGTAGGGTATAGGGTTTAGGGTTGAGGGTTAAGGGTTGAGGGTTTAGGGTTTAGTTTAACATTTTCCGGCATCCCTAGCCTGCATCAGGTTCTCGAAAGTCGTTTGAGGAGGTTTTCTCATTGTTTCAGACGGCTGCTCGGGGACTTACGGGCCGAAGCGTGCATTTCCATGGGGTAGAGAAGACCCTAAACCCCAAACCCCAAACCCCAAACCCCAAACCCCAAACCCTAAACCCTAAGCCCTAAACCCTAAACCCTAAACCCTAAGCCCTAAACCCTAAACCCTAAACCCTAAACCCTAAACCCTAAACCCTAAACCCTGCCTGGACGTCCGGCGCAGACGGCGCCTGGCTCAGTCCGTAGATCTCCAGTCCCCTGCCCTGGAGCTCTGAGCAAGCCGTGCCTGTGGGTGGGGGTTTAGGGTTTAGGGTTTAGGGTTTCGGGTTTCGGGTTTCGGGTTTCGGGTTTCGGGTTTAGTTTTGTTTGGACTTAGGGCTTATAGGGTTTGGGGTTTAGGGTTTGGGGATCTGGCCAAATCTCTCAATGATGTCCCGATTCTTGGAGTATCCTACAGCATGAAACAGGGAACCCAATTTAGCTACACCAAGCGCTTGAATCTAGTGGGTTTCACGTCCAGCGAACCTTCTAATGTCTGTGTTTCATGAAACCACTACAGAACCAAACCCGAAACAATGAACATAGGTTGGCGTAGTGCGACCAACCGCAGGTCCGATGAGCATCCGCAACCCCCAGCTAAGTTGTTTGGGGAAGAACACAAACCGTGTAGTCAAGATGTAATCCTGTAGGACCAATAAACTAGGCTGCCCAGTAACCTAGGCTTAAAAAGGGTGCCCTTTTTTGCAAGGGGTTTATAAGGGAACCTAAACGCCCCCAAAAAGGGAATAAGGGTACTACTGGGCATCCTAGTAAAGCAAACAAGCCACACAAGGATTTCGCGAAATGAAAGTCCAAGTGATAAGCCCAGCCCATGGAGACGCGAAACGCGAGGGCATCCATGAAGGCCCACGCCACCTGTCAAAGCCATGTGCGGAGGGTTTAGGGTTTAGGGTTTAGGGTTTGGGGTTTTGGGTTTAGGGTTTAGGGTTTAGGGCTAGGGTTTAGGTTGGGATGTTCCCCCTTATACTAACAGCCCGTAATCAGGACTAGAGTACCGCCGATTGTAATCCCTATTAATCACTGTTAGTACAAGGGGGAAGATCCCAAGTTTAGGGTTGCGAGTTGGGTTTAGGGCTCAAGACATACCATTGTGGCTCCTAATTGTGCTCGGTTCAGTGCTAACCGTATCCACTGCTCCCTAAACAGCAATGGTCCTAATGGTTTAGGTGTGGCGAGTCAACAGGCTGAGTGATCTGTCGTGTACGCCTGTGGGTGACGTCAATATGAACAATCTCACCTGCACAGACTTTCATGTGATGTCATCAGTCTCACGAGGACCGTTGAGGTTACTTGGCCGGCTAAACCCCCTATGATCCCAAACCCTAAGCCCCTAAACACTAACCCCTAAACCCTGTAAACCCCCTATAGCGCAAAATCCTAAACCCCCCAAACCCGAAACCCGTAAACCCTGTAAACACCCCTTAGCGGAGAGCCTCCGTGAGAACCACAGACTCGATACCAAAGTGATACGCCGTGCGCAGGATCTGACCAAGGGAATGACTGGAGCTGACCTTCAAAGGGGGTTTAGGGTTTAGGGTTTAGGGTTTAGGGTTTGGGGTTTGGGGTTTGGGGTTTGGGGTTTGGGGTTTGGGGTTTGGGGTTTGGGGTTTAGGGTTTTAGGGTTTTAGGGTTTGGGGTCGGTTTTTTTGGGGTTTGGGGTTCAGGGTTCAGGGTTTCGGGGGCAGTTGGGTTAGGAGGTTCAGGGCGTACAGGGGGTTAGGGGTTTAGAGCCTGCTGGTCGGCCTTAGAAGCATGCAGAGCCAATCAATAGGGCAAGACATCCAACAAGCAAAACTGAAGGCACCAAATAATTGAAGCAAGTGCCCTAAACCCTAAACCCTAAACCCTAAACCCTAAACCCTACACCCTAAACCCTAAACCCTAAATCCCTCCCTTAAGACAACATACCTCTACGACAGGCTCGAGGCCGGAGAACACTGACAACGTGACCGAACACCTGAGGCCCTACAGTTTTCCGAACTCAGCCTTTCCGTATATTAAATTTTAACTTGACAGGTATTGGCTTAAGGGGGTTGAAGAGGTTTAAACTGACATGTTCATAGGGTACACCCTCAAAACAGACAAATGGGATGCCTGGTCGATCACAAGGAAAGGTGGTGAGAGGTCACCCAAGGGCTTTGACATTGGATATGCCACCGCGAAGCGGCAAAAATTCTTCCTGAGAAAGGCAGATGCATTGCCTACATGTCTACATGTGGGATTCTCTAAATTAGAGGCCCTACATGTGGGGTTCTAAATTAGGGGCCCTATACCGGCTTCGTATTGCAAAAGGAGCCCTGGGTTTAGGGCTGAAAGTTCAGGAGTTTTGCTGGTTGGGGCTCAGTCCCCTCTCCACCCTGAGGTCTTTCTGTTTCTGTAGCCCAGTAGTTTCTTCGCGGCTTATGAGGCAGCCCTTGTGTACCAAGTCCTGAACTCGTCTAGCCCTGAAAACCCTGAAGCTTCCACCCTAACTTTAAGCCATGAGCCCCAAACGCGCACACTCCGAAGCCCCAAGCCCCAAAGGGTATCTATGTTCGTCCCTCAGAGAGAGACCCAAGCTTCAAAGCCTACAGCCCGACCCCCTAGCCTAGACTCAGGAACCTACAACCCAACAAAGAAGGCATGTATAGGTTGTGACTCTGAGTACTACGTGGGGCTCCAGGTATACATT